ATGTACTTTTTTGCATTATTCTGACGAAATAAAGCAGATTTTACGCTGGCTAAAAATTTATTTATTTGAAGGCTATTGATATCAACTTCTCAGATTTCGATCGGAGTGCAAACGCGAAGGTGATACGGAACGTAGCTGCGTATTATTTTCTACTAGTAGTGGCTGATAACGCCATTTGATTCATTAGCATATGTTTTCGTTTTCTTACGTGCAAACGGCGCCGCCTCTCACTCGCATTTGTGAACGTCACGTTCGATCGGAGTGTGAACAAGCGCCTTGTTGAATGGCACGAGGATTGAATCGGAACGGAACACAATGCTGCGTCCGTAATGCATGCGGAGCTTGCACTCTTTCGTCGAGATACTGCGACATTTCCTCGCGCATACATCAAATCGACCCCATAGACGCGATATTTTGAGTGCTCCAGAATATAATACGCGGCACTCGAAAGGCATAGAGTTACAGCACGCGAATTTATTTTTCAGATATATCGCTCCTCACATGTCACATGTTTTACTATTCGTTCAACTTCTTGTAACGGCCACAATTAATCCTATGTCACCAAATGAGATGTATCTTATACCTTAATGTCATTATATATTCTATAATTCTATAATTTTTATTTAATGACTTTATAATTTATATTCTACAATTTTCTATAATTTTTATTTAATAATTAACACTAATAAAAATGTTTTATATATACTTTAGATGAAGATAGAATGCAAAAGCTTTTTTTAATTGTTGGAACAATTTGAATTAAATATAATATATAAGTAATATAATATGTATAACAAGCTTAATAGTTACTATAAAAAGTAATCGTTCGTTAAGTTTTATTATATACATATATATAAAGATAAAAATTATAAAAGCATTGTCGGTGTACAACGTCAGAGCGATGTTAAAGTATTATAATGAAGAAAATTTGTGTAGCAGGTATATCCGCACATCTTTTTATTAACTTGCAGATTATGACAAATAATTTTACTGACAAAAACTATTACGTCAGTTTATCTGACAGTGATATGTAAGAAAGAAATTTTTAGCGGAAATGCTGTCAACGGGTCTTTTTGGAGTCAAGTCAACGTGTTCAGCATAGCAACCAGAGACGAGCATCCAAAGAAGAGCCAACTACACATTTCTTTAAGCGACTAAAATAATGAATATATAATATATATTAAATAATTTTTCCTTGTAAGAGAATTCGACATAACGAGAGATGTATATTACAAACGCGTGATGTGATGTATTTGAATCGTCATTAACAGTTTGACTATTCTATGCTGAGATAAACCGGAATGTAGACTTTAAATGAGAAGTAACATGGCTGCACGATCAAGTTTTTCATAAGAATACATTAATATACTGTTTTACAATTCAAGAAATCTATTTTGTTTCTTCTATGTTTGTTAATCCAGCATTAATTACAATAAAATTAAAAAATGGATTATGTAAGTATTAAACTTTTATATATTCTAAATTTGCGGAAATTCCATAAATTAATTTTTATACGTAGCTTACATTATCGCTCGCGTTTGATCGTAACCAACAGTTATTTATCGGAACAATAATCGGCGAGCATTTAAAAGACAAAGCTGTATAAAATTTAGCCAGGACAAAGCTCCATTGAACTACAATTTATTTAGTTGTGCTGTAAAATTGCATTACAGAAATACCAATTCATATTATTGATCGCATAATCAACGTTTTCAATCTTAACAGATAGAAATGGCATAATGGTAAAATTGAATTAAAGAGTTTGCTTTTGTATTTTTGGACTAGAAATAGAAGCTCTACATTAAAAGATTCATTCTGATTCATAAAGGAAATTCTTATCTGTTTTCTACATCAAGTATAACATCTTACATCATTACACATTTTACATCGTTACACATTTTATACGCGTTTATTGCGTACAGTTTCCGTTTTTTAGACGATAATATCTTTGTATTACGTTTGAACGATATCATTGCTATCACGTTACTACCTATTCAAGATTCTCGTCTCGAAGAAAAGTTCGATATATCTCAATATCGATTGATGTCGCAGTAAGAAAGTTTACGAGAGAATCTCAAAGAGCGCAGCTAGACGAGACGTTCGTCGTAAAGGAATCCTGCTGAGATCAATGTGTTTAGCATAGCAAGCAAGTCGAGCCTCCAATGAGAGAAGCCTTGGTTCGACACACGTGCCGCATCTTGTAAAATAGAACTGCGAAACGTGAAATTCCATCTTGGCCCAGTCTCGACAGTAGTCACGACAAAGTTTGACAACATCGCGAAACCGGCATCGCAGCATTCCTTCAGATTCATTTTGAAAGGAGGAAAACTTTGCCAAAAAGCCTCCATCCCACTTTAATTTAGCATCACCAGGAAAATTTTCCATTGAATAATCTATTGGATCTGTTTTGGAATCTAGGCAAAAAGAACAACAAGAGAGGAGTGCGATTATCTTTTCATAAAAATAGAACAATAATAAAAATTGCTTTCTATTGTTTTAATAAAAAAATTTTCGATTTTCGATATCACGCACGTTTTTGCTAATAAGGGCAGATAAAACGAAAAAACAACTC